GCGCGACACTGAGGGTTGCGATCCGTTGCCGGTCACGAAAAAAGACAAAAAGGAAAAAAAAAAAAAGAAACATTTTAGATGACATCTAGAATTTAGAAGAAATTTGATGACTAAAGAACAAATATTGATTATGAAAAGAGTGAGAAAATATTCTGATCATTATAATTGAGTAATTCAATGTTAGGTTAACATTCGGACAAACCGTTCACTAATTCACTCTTTCATTCATCCTCCCATTTAATTCATTTATCGGTTTAACAATTATTTATGAAGTACTTTCTATGGGCAAGACACCATACTAGGTGTTATTACGAAATACTGAACATACAGCTCAACTTCTGACTAAATGTAAAAAGACAAATGTACAAATAACAGCACAGAAGTGCCATACTAGAAGCAACAGAGAGTGAAGATTAAGAACAATAGTTCTTGAGTCAGACCTGGATTCAAATCCCAGTGCTCTCATTTAACTGCTGGGTGACCTTAACTTCTCTCCACCTCAATACCCTCATCTGCAGGCTAGCAACCACCTGGCAGGATAGTGCTGAGGATTCAATGAGATTACGCCCTTAGGATACCCACTGTAGTGCTCAGTGCATGATAAGAATCTTCGTTTTGTTATTCTGGAGCATTGTCTTCTGGGAACAACCCAGAGTGTTTGGTCATTGATGTTCTGCAAAATGGGTTCTCTGCTTTAGGAAAATAAATTTTGATTCCCTAAGTTTGGAAAAGTTTAAAATAACATTCTCTATAATTAAATGAGCCGTATTACCATATTACCATATTGAAAGCTCTGAGAAGTCCTGCAGTGTTTCAGGTTGTTTAACTTAGTATATCCCAAATGTATTTGACCACAATGGGGATACCGTTTTTGGTTAACCGTCCAAAAGTCATTCCAATCCCATTCTTGAAATGGGGAGAAAAAAACAGATTTCCCAACCTCCTTTGCAGCTGTGGATGGCCTTATGCTGCAGTTCTGGCCAGTGGGATATAAGGGGAAATCTGCCAAGGGATTTCTGGGAAAGGTATTTTCTCTTCCTGATACGTGGGAGGAGAAAAGCCTGATCCTGCTTCCTGCTTCTGCCTTTGAGTGTGGTTCAGATGTCTGGTGTACAGGATTGAATTATGTCCCCCCAAAACTCACTGAAGCTTGAATAATGTCCCCCAGGTAATATGTATTAGAAACTTGGCCCCCACTGTGACTGTTAATAGGTTGGGAAATCCTATTATGGTAATTAAAAGGTAGAGCCTTGAAGAGGTGATTGGATTGTAGGACTCTGCCGTAGTGAGTGGATTAAAAATGGTGGTCAGGGGCGTGGTTCAGAGGGCTTTAAAAGGAGAGAAGAGAGTCTGTCTCTTTCTCTCCCTGCTACAACATTTCACAGTGTGAGACCCTGCATCACTGTCACCACCACCGAGACCCTCACCAGATATGTTCCCTGGACTTTG